TTATATTTTTATTTTAGAACTTATGATATAATTTGTTCTAAAATTGGAAAACATGTCAATACTTTTTTTTTTTTCCAAATCAACTGAAATTCATTAAACCTTAAAGCATAGAGTACATCCGGATAGTCAACTGACTACAGAGATCGGCCATCTAAACCAGATGAAACCAAACGAGGAAGTACAAGATTACAACCCCTCCACAGCCCCTTTGGCCAACCTACTAAAAATACTATTAAAAGAAGGAACAAAGCAAAAATTACAACAATCTAAAGCAGAAGCTAGGACATATATATCTTTAGCAATAACACTATAATCACAATTAAAACTTTGTTGGTCCTTAAGCTTGGAAGCCAGCTCTTTGTTCTCCACACAACAGTATACAGACTTGATCCTGAGTTGAGTAGCTTTCTCTAGAATCCATCTGACTCCTTCCAGCATGCCCTCCTCTGATTTTTCTTTTTTAATGTAACAGATTCTGACCAGCTGTGTGACATAGTATCATTGCAGAAGACTCCACCCTAACCCCAGCCAACCAGGAGAATAATACAGAGCACTGACAACTACAATAAGCTGCCCTACCCCCAAAGCTCTCCTACTCCTAGTTCCTGGATTTGGTTCTTGACAACAGTAGCCTTCTCTCTATTCTTGCAGATTTCAGAGAACTCATTCCAGCAACTCACAACATTTTTGACAATAATATGTTATGTTGTCCACTTTTTCTCAAAGACCCACACATTTCTAGTCTTCCAAAGCCACCACAAAAGGTAGCTTGAAAGACTAATTCTATCAGTGGCACATTCATTAATTCCTTTAGAACAGATATCAAGCCACCAATCCCTAAAAGTTATCTTATGATCTGTTAACTTATCCTACAGCACACCAACCAACTTCCAACAAATTTGGGCTCTACTACAATGAAATAACAAATGTTCAAGATCCTCTTTTTCCTCACCACAGATAGGGCACCAGACATCACTCAAGATTCTTTTTTGATTCAACCTCACCCATGTGCTATAGCATTTCAATAAGGAGTTTTTGAGTTTACCTGCAATAGGTAGCTTTCATGTAATCTTCCACATCTTCTGGATATCTGTATTGGGCTTACTGGAACTGGCTTCTTTCCTATCCTCACATAGCAACAGGTAGTCATAAATCAGCTCCCTTTGTTGTGTCAATGCCATATGAGCTTGTCCTTCTGACCACAGTGACTTGGGGGAATATTGAGGATTATCTCAGCATCACCAGAATTAAACATTTGATTGATAAGCTCACTGTTCTATTCTCTCTTGTTACAACAAATAAGATCAACCACATTCTCAACTCTATCCAAATCACTGGGTAACATACACTCTGGACTAAAGTGGTTGTTAGCAGGAAGCCAAGGGGATTTCATATTAATAGATCTGCCATCTCCCACCCTATACCTAACCCCTAACTGCAAAGATTTCCTAGCCTCTAACCAGTTCCTCCAAAGCCAAGAATCTGCATTCTTGGGCTTAATATCCCAGAAATTCTCTTTTAAAAAATATCTACCCCTCATCACTCTACTAACTAATAGATTAGGCTTGGTTGTAAGCCTCCACAACTGCTTAACCAACATAGCCTCATTGAACACTCTAATATTCCTAAACCCCAATCCCCCTCTCTCTTTAGGTTTAGCCACCCTATCCCGAGAAGCCCAGTGAATTCTATTTCTACCCTCTCCCCCTTTACCCCACCAAAATCCAGCAATATCAGAGCAAATGTTGCTACAAATTGCCACAGGGATTCTGAAGCAAGACATTACAAAGGTAGGGAGGGCATTAAGAATGGATTTAATTAACACTTCCATCTCTGTCTCACTCAAAAATCTGTTTTTCCAGCTACACACTCTCTGCTTCACTCTATCACTGAGAAATTGAAAGGTCTCTCTCTTGTTTTTGCCTACACCTAATGGGAGCCCCAAGTATTTGGAGGAGTAGACCCTAGAGATCCCATTCAAAGTATTACAAATCACATCAGCAGTCTCAGAGGGAATGTTTTTAGAGAAGAATACAGAGGATTTGTCTAGATTAACTAGTTGCCCAGAAGCTCTCCCATATTCCTCTAAGATGTTCAAAACAGAAAAGGCATGAGACACAAAAGCTTTGCAGAAAAATATTGAGTCATCAGCAAAAAAGAGATGTGAGATCAAAGGAGCATGTCTACTATCCTAACGCCATGAAATTTAGATCTAATGCAAGCTTGGTTGATCAAGTTAGAGAAAGCTTCAGTCAGTATGATGAACAAATAGGGGGACAGTGGGTCCCCCTGTCTCAAACCCCTAGAGGGAAGGACATAGCCAAAAGGATTACCATTGATATTGAAGGAGAATGATGCGGAACAAATACAAGCCAAAATCCAGGAAATAAACTTATTATGGAACCCCTTTTTTTTAGACACCCTAACTAGGAAATTCACTCAACCCTATCATAAGCCTTGGCCATATCTAGCTTGATAGCCATATAACTGTCTTTGACCTTTCTTTTACTATTAAGAAAATGTATGCATTCATTGGCAATGACAACATTATCAATAATATATCTACCAGTCACAAAAGCTGATTGAGTAGGAGATATGCACAAATTAAACACATGTTTCAGTCTATTAGCAATCACTTTAGAAATAATTTTGTATACCACAGAGCACAGGCTAATGGGTCTGAAGTCAGACACTTTTTCAGGATTACTTTTCTTAGGAATTAGGGTAATGGTGGAGGGATTCAGGCCCTTAGGCATTTTACCCTTCTAGAAAAAATTTAAAACAGCACAACACAGATGATCCTTAATAGAACTCCAAGAGTTTTGAAAAAAAGAGGCATTACACCCATCAATTCCAGGGGCTTTGAGGGGATCCATTTCCATTAGTGCTTTTTCAACTTCAGAGATACAAACATCCCTGATTAACCTGTCATTGACTTCAACACATGGATGTTGGAATTCCCTTTAGGTTACAATTTTCCACAATAGGGTTTGAGGATCTAAACAGATCCCCAAAATACCTCTGCAATTCTAGCACAATATTACTCTCAGACTCACATCTTCTCCCCTCAACAGTTTTGAGATTATCAAGAGAATTAAACTTTCTCCTCTGACCTACACTAGCCTGGAAGAATTTGGTGTTTTTATCACCATCTTTTAACCAGCTAATCCTAGCTTTTTGCTTCTAATAAAGCTCATCCTCATTATAAGCCCTATGAAGACTCCTCTTACAGCTACCCCACTCCTCCCAATCCCTATCCCCTCCCAGATTTTCAAGCACCTTAAGTTTACCCTTAAGGTCAGAAATTAGAATTGCAGAATTAGTTTGGTTCTTACCAGCCCAGTTGAGAATATTATTCTTAACATTCTTCAGTATATTCTGAATACTGAAGAGGGCAGGGCCCTTCACATCCATATTCCACCCCAAACTAACAACCTCCTCAAAACCCTCCCTCCTCGCCCACCTAATATAAAAAAAACAAAATGTTTCTTCCTTCTGCTCACAACCTCCTCAGTAGTCAGACTGAGAAGTTTATGATCAGAGGAGAACATAAAAGTAAGCCTGACTTGGGGCTTACTCAGGAGCATGTTCAAATCAGGGGGAAAAAACATCATATCTAACTTTTCTTCCACAAAATCACCCCCCTGTCTATTATTGGCCCAGGTAAATTGAGATCCAACAGAGTTGATCTCAACCATGTCGATGGCCTGCACAAAATTCCTAAAACTCCTAAAGCTAGACTCCTCCCTCAAAATACCCCCTCTTTTCTCAGAATTAGATAAGAGGTCATTGAAATCACCACTAACAAACCAATGCTCACCCCAAGTGAGACTGTACCTAACCAAAACCTCCGATTGACCTTGTCTAATTTGATTGTCATTACTAGCATAAACAAAAGTACCCCAAAAGGTCTCATCAAAGCCATTGATGAGAAACTTAGCTTCAATACAACAATCTAAGCACAGAATTTCCAGAATGGTGACTTTTTCAGACCAACATAAAAGCATCCCACCTTTCTTACCCATAGGGACTACATAATGCCACCTATCCTTCAATTTCAAATTTTTGCAAACATTTTCAACATTTTTTTTTTTGTTTCAGAAAAAAATAGAAAATCAGGGATGTGAGTCCTACGGATCTCTTTTACCTGGGATATTGTAGAGGGTCCCCACAAACCTCTACAATTTTCCACACATACCTTCATTGGGCACTGTGGGACCAGTTATGGCTGGTGCCTCCACCAAATCAGATTTGAGTTTTTTAGCTCCTGTGAGTCTCAGTGTCCTCAGGATTTAACTGTATTTCAGGTGCAAAGGATCTTTTCCTAAAGTTATCAGAACTAGTACCCCCCTCAATAAGAGTGTCCTCATCATGCACTACCATATGGAAGGGGGTGATTGATTTCTTAATCCTAGGTTTTCTGGGAAGAGAGAGTTTTTTCATGTCACCAGTCTTAACAACTCTGGGAGAATGCTGGATCTCAACTTCAACAAGCTGATATATCTCAGTCATCAACTCCATGTGACCCTCCTCAACTATAGAAGGGTTAATAGGAGTTCCAGATTTAGTGGGTAAATTAACATTGTTGACTGGAGGAACACTAGGATTCTCTAACCCCTTACCACAGAGTTATTGCCCAACTCTTCATCCTGACCACTACCCATCTAAACTGAAAAAGGCCTATTTGTCACTTCCTGATTAGAAGAAGGGTGAGGAGATCTACTACCTGTGTTGCTACCACTAGCATTGCTCCTAGAGCCCTTGTGATCAAAAGGATTACCTACCCCAACCCTAAGCCAATCCCCAAATTGCCCCACATTGAAAGCATAATTAGCAAAATCATCATGTTTGAAAACACATTCTTTATTACCATGCCCTATTCTACCACAATAGTAGCAAAAGTGTTAAAGGTTCTCATACCTGAATGTTACCCATTTGTTCTCTTGTCCCACTTTGATGAATGTGCCACACAAGATGGGTTCCCTTATTTTTCAACTCTATCAAAACTTGGTGACTTCAATATTATTGTTTCCTGTCCTTGGGACTTGGACGTCAAGCACCTTTCCTAACTTCTTTCCGATTTTCCAGGCAGAGTCAACAATCGTCCAATGGAGTAGGAGGTTAATAAGGTGAACCCACACTTTTATAACTTTCTCTTCCTCAGAAAAATCCAACTGTTGAGGATGCCATAGCTTGAGGAGTAGGTATTGACCGTCAAATGTCCAGGACTTGCCTTGCAATATTCTGTCTCTGTCCTCTTCGAGTTCAAACATAAACTGGTATTTGTTGAACCCCAACGGTCTAATCTTAAAAGGTTTTCGGGTAATCCATATGTTGTTGAGGGTCCTTTGTAGCCCATTGAAGTTATTGCGTTTGTCTCCGTAACTCTGGCCTATTAAACTAAGTTGACACTCACGAAGTCCCGGTGCGATATTGTCGACTAGCAGTTCCACATCCTCCTCTTCCTTCTCTGAGAGTTTAAATTTATCTAGCTTGTCTGCAAGGTCTGACTCCATCTTCAATTCTGATCTTGTACATTAGATCCAACAATCAAGCCCACACAATAGAACAATTCACATAAACAAACAAGAAACATAACTATCCAGATAAGTACCAGATGAAATGCACACAATATCTATAGCAAAGAAAGGTTTCAATTAAGCAAATCAGATAGATAAGCCAAGGCTAAGACGGATTGGGCGAAATCTCCCAAAACCCCTAACCCTAACCCCCAAAACTATAGCAGCAACCCCCAACCCTAAAAAGACCCACGAAAGCATGTCAATACATAGGGATAAACAAGTATTAAGAAGTGAATCAACTTACAAATGAACTGCTATTATTTTAAGACGAGAAAAATAAAAAAAGAAACTATTCTAATGAGACTGTGTATTCGAAGGTATCATAGGCCAAATCACGAAAGGGATTGGAGTTGAGGGTTTTTTTTTTTTAACTCATCATATTCAATCATTTACACATTTAACTCAGCATTTAATTAAACTTAACTCAACCCAACTTTTTCTTAGTATATCATTATAATTAAATAATAATTAATTATTATCATACATGACATCAACTTTAATCCACTACTCATCCATTCACATAATTTTAACTGACTATCCACATGTAAGAAATTCAACTGGTATATCCATAACTATTAGGCGGAATTGAATAAACCCTAAGCATGTAATTCTATCAGTTCATAGAATATGGATCTTTGCATAAATTAATTTGCACATAGAACTTACAGAGTCTAGCTTATAGTCATTCCTTGTTTTCTATGATCCTCTTTCTCATAATCTCCAGTGATGGGTTGTCTTTGCCTACGAATTGTTTTTCTCTTTCGCTTCTCTCGTCTTTCCATAAAGCCTTGATGTTGAGAACTTTATTTTCGCATGAGGCGAGAGAGATGGGCATGTAGTAGCCCATGATGTTGAAAACTTTATTTTCGTATGAGCCGAGAGAGATGGGAATGTAGTATATATAGGAGGAGATCTACGATTCTAATCCTACTAACATTCCCTATGTTCTAACCTAACTTACAGTCCAAGTCAAACATCACAAATTGGACTCTTTTATATTAGAACATTAATAATCTATTAAATACATATTCACCTTAATTAAGTTTGACTATTCATTCAATTATGTCCAACTAATTATATGGTCTACAATAATAGAATAGTTTAAAATATTATTACATTCTCCAACTTGGACCATATAAGTGTCGAACCCAAAGAACTACTTTAAGCGCCCCCCCCCC